TGTGCAACAAGGGCTCAGTCACTGCCTTCTACTGCATCCTGGGCTACCTGAGTTTCTTAGCTCTGGGGAGTTTCACTGTGGCTTTCCTGGCCAGGAACCTGCCTGACACATTTAATGAAGCCAAGCTCCTTACATTCAGCATGCTGGTGTTCTGCAGTGTCTGGATCACATTTGTCCCAGTCTATCACAGCACCAAGGGGAAGTTCATGGTGGCTGTAGAGGTCTTTTCCATTTTGACCTCCAGTGCAGGACTCTTAGGTTGCATCTTTGTGTCCAAGTGCTATATTATTCTGATAAGGCCTGATAAGAATTCCTGGAAAGCTTTAAAAAACAGAAGATGTTACAAATAAAATATAAGGTTTATATCATAAGACTGTATCACAATTTTAGGGTTTTGAACCAGAAAGGTACAGACTTTATATTCTCATATTATAAAGTAATTGAAAATTACTGACTTCTTAAATTCATTTTAAAATAATAAATATATGTATCTAATCTTTGACAGTTATTATACTTTCAACTATGATTGGTATCTTAGATTAATGGACATTTCTTACATTATGGGTATTGATTAATGGCAACATTTTATTAATTCTTTAGTATTTATTTTGTTCTCCTAGAAAGCTTTTTACTTCTATACAGTCAGAAATAATGTCTTCACTTCCATATCTGCTTTATTGATTTGTATCTTCTCTCTCTAGGAATGTCTTGCTTTATTTAACTTTAATATTTTGATGACCATGATTTATTTCGTTTGACCAGAGAGTCAGAGAGAGTGAGAATGCAAGACCACCAGGTATGGGACTCAAACTTCTCTCCATCATGTGGGAGTCGTCTCAACTACTCTGCCACCGATTGTCCACTGAAATTTAAAAATGATGCCAAGATCATAGATTGGGGAAAGGACAGTAGCTCATTAAATAGTTCTGGATATAGTCACTATCCATGTCAGAAAGAACAGATTACAAACGTAAATGTAAGACACAGAACAGGACTACAGAAGAAAAAATAGGGAAATTCCTTAGGTATTGATCTGGGCACAGATTTTTAAAAGAAGACCTGAAAATCAGAGGCAAGAAAAGAAAAAAATTTCATCTGATATTGTAGCAAACTAAAATGATTCTGCATAGCAAACAATCAACAGGGTGAACAGACATGCTTCAAGTGCGGTTGAACGCATTTTCAATGTATTCATCTAGTGAAGTATTATTCAGAGTATATAAAAAAGTCAATAAACTAAAAAAAGACCCTGATTACAGAATTAAATAAAGACATGAATAAACGTTTCTAAAGAAGACATACAATAGCCAAGTATATGAAAAAATGCTCAATATCACTAATTTCCAACAAAATATAAATACAAACTACAATGAGGTTTCATGTTTCCTTAGTTAAAATGACCATTTTCTATGAGAAAAAAAAGTGAAATAATAAAACATGATACACTGCAAGGTTAACTTACATGGGAAGGTTTAGAGTTTACATCTGGAGACCTCTCTGAGTGTACTGGGCATACTTGTACCAACAATGTGGCACTGGATGAGGCTGGGAGTAGATAATGTGTTGAGACACTTTGGGGAGTGCTTGTTTCTCTGTAGGTCTCTCTAGTCCTCTTTTTTTCTCTTTTATGCATGAAAGGAATAAACTTTGAAGTATCTTGTGTTGTTTTTTGTTTGTTTGTTTGTTTGTTTGTTTGTTTGTGGGCAAAGGGGTTGCCATAATGCACATGTGCTCACCAAAGAGACAGAAACAGAGAGAAGGAAAGTGAGAAATCACTCCCCAGGGAGCTAGTGTTACCACAATCCCTTCTCCTCCATTCTCTAAGCATTTTGAACACACACATGCACACTCACATGCACACACATGCACACTCACATGCACACACACACACACACACACACACGTGCTCAATGTGATTTATAATTTGCTGAGTCCAAAATTCAAGCCGTAGTTGGTCATGCAGGAGTCCAGTTCCTTAACCACACTACCTGCTGTCCACTTTGAAACAATTTTAAAAATAATGCTGAACTAGCAGGTGCTGGGTCCCACATGGTCAACTGCATGACAGGATGGCTTAATAAAATGCAATGCACATGTGTGCATGCATACTAAAATAGTACAAAAAGAAAGATGGAGGAATGATTGTGGCTTGCTCCTATCCTTTAATGTGTGCTTTCTCATTCTCTCTTTCACTCTGGCTCTCTACAGCAACAAGTGCACGTGCCCTATAGCAAAAACTAGAAACAAAAAAACCTAAGTATATTTTGAGTCCATAGTTTTGAACAGTGCCTGCTATCAAAGATGGCCCAGGAAGTTCCCTGCAAGTCTCTTGAGCATGACCACTGTTTCTCCTCCTGCTGTGACTGTGACCGTGGAGTAGTGTGGCTAATCTTTTTTTTTTTTTTTTTTGAGAGGTTTTTCTTATAGGGGGCTTTCGCT